GTCCCCATGCCACGAAGGACTGTGCCCAGAAGAAGTTCTCTACCGGTTGTTATCTGTGCGGAGGCGACGGACATTTAGCCCGTAGCTGCCCCACTAGACGAGGTGACGGCTCTAAGGCCGGACCTTCGTCGTCGGGAAACTAAGACGGCGGTTGACGAGGGGTCCTCAACCGCCGGACCCGACGATATACCTCTGTACGTTCGGCGCAGAGGTTGGTCTATTTTTACATGCCGAACTGTTGACCAATCTCCAAGTTACCCAGCCGCTGAAGGCCTGTATTGATACGGGTAGCTGTTTTTCTTTGGTACACCGCCGGTTCCTACCTAGTGGTGCTGTTATACTTCCCTGTAATAATATAGATTTGGTGACCATCGACCAGAAGCCATTCGGTATACTCGGAGCCTGTCGACTGAGCTTGCGTCTGTACGATTCCCCGAACCCTGTTTTTGACGCTAGTAAGCCTCACGAGACCTTCGAAATGGTGTTTCTTGTGGTCGACACCTTGGCCTACGACATGGTTATCGGCCATGATTTTATGGCACATTTTTCCGTCATACTTCTGAACTTTTCGAGTTTCGAGGCTCGATCTCGAATCGATTCGGTCCCAGAGGTTATACAATCGATTGGTCCAATATCGATACCGGTAACCGAGAATCGATCTCGAATCGATTCTTTCGATTTAGGGGCGCCGGTTCGATCCAAGGCTCCGGCATTTTTATGTATTTTCTATTTCGAAAAGTTGCGCACAATGGAACCACTGAAACCCGGCACCTGCTCATCCGCGCCCCTAGATTCGTCGCCCCTAAGGTACTCAATCCGCCCCTAAATTGCCCAATCTGCCCCTAAATGACTCGTACCGGCCCCTAACTTTTCAAGCTACCCGAGCGTCCCTGAAGCTTCACTGCAAGCATGTCACGTGGCTTTGTTGACTGCCATGACATCTTGAGGAAAACTCATGTGCATCACGCTTGACCCTGGCCGTCTGAAAGATACATGTTCGAACTTGACCAGCCACTGGCTTGAACGTTTCGAAACCTTGGCCGACGCAATGATCAATCTAGTTTCACATCGTTGTGTTGAGCCGTGCTATCTACTGATCTTGGCCGGCGGCCAATGGCCGCCCTGAACACGTACTGAGCGTACTGAACTCCACCACGTAACTACATTTATTAGCTAAGCATACTGGTATGGGTCACTGAGACAGAAACTGTCAGTCTCAGAGAAGCTGTAACGATAGCGGATGACTCATCCAACTTTAGAACGCATGTGGCATATTTAGGGACGGATTGAGTAATTTAGGGGCGGGGCGAAGAATCCGGATTTTTGAACCTATGCTATATGCGATAACTATTAGAGTTATTAGGCTACTTAGTAGCCGCTACTAGGGATATTGAATTTGCGGTGTGGATTATGCTCAGAAATAGTATTTGGATAATCTTCTTCTGAATTACCGAAGAACTATCTCGAGGGTTCGTCGAGGCTCGAGGCAAACGCGCAATCTGACCGAACCCGGGGAATACCATCCTTCCGACCCGGGGAATCGGCATCTGCAGAATATCTGGCTGTCGCCGCAATTGGCAGCGTGCCACAGCAAAGCGACTCGCCTCGGGCGAACAGCAAGGTCGTGCGCGGATATTCAGTATCTCGCTGATGGAGTCTATCCGAGTCAGATAATCAGACAGCCTCCCAGTGCCTGTGGCTATCAACTGAGCGGTCTAGCCTCGACCCTTACTTTTTCTTCTCGTGGAAGTGCTTTGCTAAAGGCATCCTGAATTGTTGCAATAATATGACAGGTGCTGTAGACCCTATAAGTAACCCTCAATGCTGACGTAGGAGAGCATTTCAATGAATTTCGAATTTCGAGGTGGATCGATTCCTCGAATCGAATCGATTCGTCTGCCCGCCGCAGCATCCTCGATTGATTAGCACCGAACAATCGATCGATTTTCGATATCTCGATCCAATCGAGCCTCGGTCCGATGTATGTTTTCCGTCAACCCATCCTATGGTAGGGGAAGACCTTATCCTGTAGTGGGAAGTCCCGCTACACGCACTGCACCTCTATTGCACCCTACGATGGAAGGTACAATGGGTGGTGCTAGCCCGTCTACACAGACTATGTTGGCGACAAGCCCTACTCGAGGACGATCTGTCGGACGAACGGTACGGGATGGCCCTAGTTCGTGGGGCGGTGACGGAGATCCGGTACGGACATCCGACGAGTCCGATGTCGCCTTAACTAAGGCTTTCCAGCCTGTTTCTACCCATGCTAACCTGGTAGACTTCAAGATCAAAGGTGTGGACGTGGTTCTAGGCAAATCGGTTATTGCCGCCGTCCGACCTTCGGGCGACTCCGTGAAGTACCCCAAGTTCAGAGCCTTCACTACGACTGGTACTGAGGACACGGAGGCTTGGCCGACGCCGGGAATCTCCCCGGATGTGCTATTAGACGATGACCTTGCTATTTCCTCGGACTATGCTGTCCCCGACTTTCACGACGAGGATAAGTCCTACCCGACTTTCGAGGAGTCGAGACCTGGTGTATCACGCTACCGCTCCCTATGCGAGGAGTTTGGTGACCTTTTTGTGAACAAGCCCGGTCATTGCGACCTTGTGGACCACGCTATTATAGTGACCGATGACAATCCTATCGCCGAGCGCACTCGACCTTTGCCCCATAAATGGCGTGCGGAGATTACAGCGCAGCTTGAGGAGCTGGAGAACGACGGCTTGATCGTCCGATCCACCTCTCCTTATAAGTTCCCCTGTGTCTTCGTCCCTAAGAAAAATGGGAAGGTTAGAATGTGTGTCGACTACCGGTCGCTCAACAAGGTCACTAGGGTCGACTCGTATCCGCTACCCCGGCCTGACGATGTTCAAGAACACCTAGTCGGTGCGAAGGTATTTTCTACTATTGACCTTCGTAGCGGGTACTGGCAAATGAAGGTTCGACCTTCGGATCGGCGACGGACTGCTTTCTGTCCGGGCCCAGGGTTCCCTCTCTTCGAATGGACCCGGATGCCCTTCGGACTGTGCAATGCGCCTGCCAGCTTCCAAAGGTTGATGGACTTGGTCCTTGGGAAGTTTGACTTCGTCCGCGTTTACTTGGACGACGTTCTTGTCTTCTCGAGTTCCCTTGAGGAACACCTCCGTCACCTGAGGTTGATCTTCGAGGCTTTTCGGGAAGCTGGTCTGACCTTGGCTGGAGACAAATGCTCGATTGGTATGGACTCGGTTGTCTACCTTGGGCACCGCTACTCCGCGGATGGTATGTCTCCAGACCTGACCAAGGTCAAGGTTATTTCGGCATGGCCTACCCCTCGTACGGCAACAGACCTTAGGAGTTTCCTCGGGTTGGTTGGATACTACCGCCATTCCATTCCCCACTTCGCTGACCGTTCTAAGGCGTTACAGAAACTGCTCACTACGGCTGCGAGGGAGGAAGACCGGGTGGCTGAGCTTTGGGATGAGAAGCATCTGATCGCCTTTCAAGACCTCAAGAAAGCGTTGACCGACCTTCCGTACTTGGAGTACCCTGATTTTTCAAGGCCTTTTGAGATGGCTTGCGACGCCTCTAATTATGCTATCGGTGGCGTCTTGGAACAAGACGGCCGACCTTTGGCATTCTATAGCCAGACTCTGACTGGTTCTCAGTTGAACTGGCCGGTTTACGAGAAGGAAGCCTACGCCGTTCTCAAGTGTCTTGAACGATTTCGACATCTGCATCTTGGTTACCAGCTCCGGGTAAAGATATTCTCCGATCATAGACCTTTGCAATGGCTGAAGACTGCGACTTCGTCAAAGTTGCAACGGTGGTTGCTAGCTTTGCAACAGTATCAGTTTGACGTGGTTTATGTACCGGGTAAGAAGAATCTTCGTGCCGACGCTCTGTCACGGGTTCGTCCTGTTCCGACGGATTCGATCGACGCGCCGCCTGCCCTGCCCGTTGGTGTGGTGACCTTGGAGGACGCTTACTCGAAGGAGGATATTCTTCAATCGCAGAAGAATTGTCCTGTACTTCGACGGTTGTATCAACGGTTACTAAGTTCCGAGCCCCTACGACGTAACGAGCTAACTGAACGTGACCTTCGACCTTATAGACGGGTCTGGAGGACTCTTGGTATTGCCGATGGATTGGTTGTTCGAGAACGTGCTCCCACCTCCTACACTGGACGGCGCTGGGTTCCTGTTATACCAGCCTCTCTACGACCAACGTTCATCGAACACTTCCACGAAGAGATTGGTCACTTCAACGTCGACAAAGTACTGCCTAAGGTGGAACTATATGGTTATTGGCCCAGCATGGCTAGCGACATTGAGCATGCCTTGGCTCAGTGCCAGCGATGTCTGGATGCTAAAAGACCTTCACCGGCTCCGGCGCCGCTGATGCCGGTTCCGATAGGCAGACCTTGGGAAACCATAGCTGTGGACCTACTCTCGGTTCCTACGAATCCGGACGGTATCTCTACACTACTGGTTATGCAAGACTACTTTACGAAATGGGCTCATGTGGTACCCCTGCGACAACATACCTGGCTGGATGTTGCTCGGCCCTTGTTTCAACTGTTCCTGCTATTTGGTCCTCCACGACGACTACATTCGGATCAAGGCCCTCCGTTCGAATCTTGGTTGTTCAAGATGACGTTGGGATTGCTCGGTGTCCGCAAGTCCAAGAGTTCCGTCTATCATCCGGCTGGGAATGGCCTCGTTGAGAGGTTCAACCAGACCTTTCTCAAGATGGTTAGGACTCATGTGGACTCGGTGTATGACTGGCAACGTCACTTAGGCTCTATGGTCTGGTACTATAATACTAGTATCCATTCGGCGACTAAGGCGTCTCCTTTCTACTTGATGTACGGTAGGAACCCGCCTGACCTTTGGTTCCCGGATTTGGATAGTGTCGAGACCCGCTTCTTCGACCCCGAGACCTATGCCAACTTCTTGAGTTCTACTAGAGCTAGAATTCTTGATAACGTTGACCAGTGTGTTACACATGCTGCCACTGTGTACAAGGCAACGTTCGACTCTAAGGCTAAGCTTAGGTTGTTTCGCCCTGGACTACGAGTTCGCTTAGAGACCTTAGGTCCTGCCCGGTCTAATAAACTGGATCCCCGATGGGAAGGAAACTGGTTTGTCTCTAACGCTCTGCCTGGCCTTAACAACAAGACCTTAGAAATTGTTCATCCGGCTACACGCCGACGGAAGATTATTACTGTGGATCATCTACTTCTGGACCCAATTCAACCCGATCATCTACCCGAAGATGTGGCTACTATGGTCTACGGTGAAGCAGGTGCTATACTCGGAGAAGCTATCATTCCTGACGTCGACCCTACCTTCGACGATGTCCCGGTATTCCCGCCGACGTCACCTGACTGTCCGGTCGAAGTTAATTTCGTATCGCGAGATGTGGGTGTAGGTCCTGTAGACCCCCAGGTTCCTACTAGTCCTTCGGTTCCGCCAACGTTCCGGTCAGAATGTGCTGCGGTTCCCCCGACCCCACCCGGCCCTGGTACTACTCCGGCTGCCGATAGTGACTCCGAGTCCGACCTTTCTATGCCACCTCTCTCACCGCACCCTTCTCTCTTAAGGGGGGAGGAGGAAGAGGAAGTTGAAGACCAGGAGGTTTCGGATGTATCCGTCCCGCCTACTGAGAACTCAACACCTGCCCCCGGAAACGGTTCTGAACGACACTCCCAACATGAACCCGAACCTGCCAAAGTAGTAGATGCTCTTCCACAAGACGACCTTCCGTCCGAGGCTCCCGTGTCGCCACTCTCTGTTGCTCCTGAGAACGAGAATTCTAACGATGAAGCACCAGAGTTCGAGTCGGCGAATGAGGATCCTGATGATGCTCCGTCTTATGAGATTCCGCAAGAGTGGACTCTCACCAGAGATCGTCCACGACGACAGCCGCATCCGGTTGTACGATTCGACCCGAGCTTTCTTGGCCCTGGTGGTCTGAAAGAGAGTTCTCGGAGGCCCCAGTAGCTATGTAAGAAGACCTACCTTGGTTGATACTATTCTCTATGCGCGCCTCTGGATTGCTATCCACCTCGGCCTGGTCCCGTTCTTATTGCTGCTATACGCTGACCTGCTTGGATATCCTGAGATATCCTGAGATAAACTAATATTATTGTTACTGTTCTTTTGATTATTGCTGAAGCTTCATGCGCCGTGTAAAGAGCGCCCGTATTTTTGATCGATTTTGCCGCCTGGAGTACGTGTGCGATGAACGTCTCCTTGCTGACACGTTTTGAACCGCTACCTTGGTATCTCCGTTGACATGGGAGCTAAACTAACTCGCCCTTGGTATGTTCTCGAAGCCGAGCTTGATGACGCCGCCGTCAGCGACTTTGTCTCGACCTTGTCCCCGAGGGGTGCGACCTTTGTTTCTAGGCTCCGCCTGAAGGAACCTCATCGTGCTGATTATTATCTCGATGAAGTCCGTAAGGCCCTTGTGGACTCGACCTTACCCGACGCTAGAGCTGAGCACAAGGAACTTGGTCGCAGGCTAGAAGAGTTCGCTAGAGATGAGGGCGTGGCCTGCCCTTCGTTTCTACAAAACCTTCGCCGTATCGTCGAGCCCCCTAACGACATGTCGGACGCCGCTGACTCTGCCATCGACGCTGTTTCGGTTATGAGCAGTCTACACGAGATTCCCGAGAGTGACTCTGACGACCTCCCCGAAGAGCCCGTCTCACCGCAGCCCCTTCCCGTTAGACCTTTGTCAGCTACGGCTACGGCTACTGCTAAGGCCCCGCCTACTACCGCTACTAATGGTCGTGGAGGTAGTGTGGCTGCTGGGATTACTCATAGGTATGGCCCTTGGGATTGGTCTAGGTCTGCTACGCCGTCTCGTGTTAACCTTCGTCCCCGTAATGCCCGTGCTGGTATGTCTACACCGGGAGGCCTTCGTACTCCTCCGGTGACCCCAGGTTGGCCGCCGTCCTCTACTCCGGCACCTTTGGATTGGCGTTCTGCTTCAAGGAGTTTCCCTAAGGCTTCGCTTGGACCTTTGGGTTCCTCTTCGTCCCGTATGATGCCTCCGAGACCTGGTACAGTTTGGTCTACATCGACGCCTACTTCAAGACCTTCGACATCCTCTACTTCTGTTAACAACTTACAGGTGACCTTTTCTGTTCGTAATGACTACGATTACGCTCACTTGGTGCCTAAGTATGTTGAGAGAAGGACTCATCATGATCGCTATGCTTGGGTCTGGGACTATTGTCGAAGCGAATCTTATGGTCCTGGTCGCGAGTGGCGCCGTTACTTGGCTGCTCAGCGTCAGACCTTAGGTGAAACATGTTTCGAGGCCCTTAACGGACCTTGGATTATTGACCATGCTGTGATGGCTGGACTGGTCCACGACGACTTCATCCACCGACCTTTGGTTGGCAATGTGTTACTGTGTCATGGCATCCTCAACTCCTGCGGTGGAGATGATGGCCTTTGGTTACCTTCGGCTTCCGCTCTATTGAGGTATTGCTACGAGTGTGGTGCCTATCCGCACTTGGTGACCTACCACACCAGACACGGCCGACCTTCGGGAAGTACTATGAATAGTTGTAATTTGTTCTTTTGTTGTCGTCGCCATTGTGAGGACGCGCTACAACGTCTCTTAAGAGCTGGCTTTACCTTCGGCTTTAGACCTTCCGGCTATCTGTTCTTCGCCCGAAGCGAGAAGGCCTTTGTCAGTCCTTTTAGAGATGAGCACGGTGGTTTTAGTGGTTTGACCATTGAGGAACGACGACTATGTTTTCTCTTGGCTCATACTCGCCTAATGAACCTTCGGTCTGGTATTCCGTTAAGCACTTTCAAGGTTTACGATAACGAGTGGATTACTACACCCTTGGAGCAAATTGACGCTGTTAGGGAGTGCCCTTCCACTACGACCTTGGCTTCTCGATTTGCTGACCTAGGTGAAGTCACGGATGACGCTCTTAGTGCAGTTCTTGGTATGGTTCGAGACTACAGTATCACTGTTGGTGCTTTGGAAAGGACCTTTGACGAGAGAAGACGTTCTCTGTGATACTTAGTGCATTATTGAGTTTTTTTGATATTTATCTTATTTCATTTTTTTCATTGGTTCGACCTTAGTTTTCGGAATGACGTCAAGCTAAGGGGGGAGGTATGTAGACCTTAGGTTGTGTAGACCTTTGGAACACTTGCTTTCTTGGTCGCTTGACATTCCTTAAACTAGGCCTTGGTTGGCTCGCCTATAGCCGTGTCGATTGGATAATCGATCCAGGTGTCACGTCACCTTCTGCGTGTCACGACCTTGGAACTCGCTAACGAGTCGCTAACGTGTCGTTACGACTTAGTCCGATCTGGATTCACTCTGGCTTGATCCTTGGCTGTTCTAGTCGACCTTTGACTGAAAACAAGCCTTGTGTTCTTGAAGTTCGCCGAAGTATCAGCAACGATCTTGGTCACTTGTAGCTCTGCAACGCGTAGACCTACACTTTGTTATAAAGCGCGCGCCACTCTACATAGTGCACGTTCCTTTGCTCCGTCTCAGTGTCACATTCACTTGTCTGTTCACGTGTCGGTCGAACGTAGTCTAGCCCGACCTCTCCCTCTATCTTGACTGTTTATTAACTAAACTTTAATTGGCGACTGCTGCTTGTGAGTGGCTCTGCCGATTTGCGGTCTTCAGATTTGCTCACGGCGGTTAACCGTACGCTAACTCTTACGGGGTCGATGTGCTGAACTTTCACGTAGACGATGCTGCTGTATCACATCGATCACCTTTCCGCACCCATTCTCTCCTACATCCCGACATACAAAGTTACCAGTCACTACAGCGTCGCTGTAACAGCGAGCTTGTCTCCGATCGCGTGTCATGAAGAACAGCAACCCTTACGGGTGGCGTGTCGAGCCGGAAGGATCGGCCTGCAAAGCAGAGCCTCCCGTAAAATGAACGACAAGGAGCCATTGCCCCAGCCGTACCGCAGAGTTTGCGACGCAAACTAACGTTGCAATACTTTTCGCAGTGACGTGTCGTCGCTCTCTCTCGTCGCCGACGACAAACAACTAACAACGCGGGCGTTCGTTACTGAAACTACCGCTAAGATCTTTAATACATCATGTATTTGACATTAAGCCAGATGAAGAGTTGGGAGTATGGAAAAATCTTTCACGCCGCACTACCCTCCAGTCCCTTGATAGCATCTAGACAGACCTGCAAAAGTAGGGAGTCCGTCTCGCGAGGCGATCAGAAGTAGCCGCGGTACTCTCTTTACAGTGCGAAGTACTCCTAGCTTTGCTGATTTAAGGAAGTGATAATTTCGTGGCGCGTGACGGAGATAACTGCGCTGTAGTTGTGGTTGCTTGTCCCTCGTGATCGAAGGCGTCTGCAGTTGCTTTCCCTCGTAGTAGACGAAGTTTTCTCTAGCATGCTAGATGAGCCCTCTTTATGTTCCTTAGCCATGCAAACATCAATTCTACTGGTAGATTTCATGTCGTAAAATTTTGGATTTTTTGTCAATTTTTCTCCTCCGTGATATTTCCCATGTTCAAAGCTATAGCGACATCTCAGGCCTCCTGATAAGGAAACAGCTGCATGTTGACATCAGTTTGATTCCATCCGCTCTCACTCGCAATCATGGCCCCCAAGAAGAAGGTGGAAGAAGTGAAGAAGGTCAAATTCGGTCGACCAGGCAACACTCTTCGCATGGGTCTCGTCGGGCTTCCTAATGTTGGCAAGTCCACCACCTTCAACGTCCTCACCAAGGTACCATAAGTCTCTCAGTTGGTTGTCACCTCCTATTGTTTTCTCTCTCCCAGTGTTCGATCCCTGCTGAGAATTTCCCCTTCTGCACGATCGATCCACATGAAGCTGTTGTTAATGTTCCTGATGCAAGGTAAGGGCAGCGGCGAACTCGGTTGGATTTCTACTGTCATATTTTTGAGCAGGATGGACTGGTTGTCGGCTACTTTCAAGCCCAAGAGCACCATTGCTGCGGTTTTGCGAATCTGGGATATCGCTGGTCTAGTGCCCAACGCTCACGAGGGAGAGGTAACAGTCCCGTCGAGCACCAATCGTGTTATGATGAGTTTCTCTCTTTTGCAGGGTCTCGGAAATGCCTTCTTGTCGAATATCCAGTCGGTCGATGGTATCTACCACGTATGCAGAGCTTTCACTGATGAAGACATCGTGCATACCGAGGGAGAGGTAATTTCGGCCGGGACTTGTTGGAAAAAATAAATGACATTTTCTCGTTCAGGTCAACCCCGTTCGGGATCTCCAGATCATCCAGTCGGAGCTCATCTTCAAGGATCTGGCCCAAGCCACTAATCGCGCTGCAGAGTATGCCAAGAAGGCCGAGCAGAACAAGAAAATGAAGGAGCTTAAGGAAGAGTAATAAGTCCCAGTGCTTGTGGACTGTATCAGTCAGTTTGTCAGGTATGACACGCTCGTTAAGTGTCAGAAGGTCTTGGAAAGTGGCAAGCCTCTCAGACTCTGTGATGACTGGACTTCTAAGGAAGTTGAGATCGTCAACAAGTACTACGTCGCTGTCATGTCGTGCCCATCAGCGACTCTCATTAGGTATCAGTTCTTGACCACTAAACCCACTGTTTACCTGGTCAACATGAGCGAGAGGGACTTCGTCCGTCAGAAGAACAAGTGGTTGCCTAAGATCAAAGAGTGGGTCGACACCAACGGCGGTGGCCCTATCATTCCTTATTCTGCTGCTTTCGAGATGGAGTACCAAGAATGTGGTAAGCGGGGCGGATTGGTGTGAGTCTTGACACTAGCTAGGATTGTCGATATCGCAGGTGATTCGGAGGAGGACAAGAAGGCTTATCTCGAAAAGACCGGTGCGAAGAAGTCCATGATTGACAAGATCATCAAGACTGGGTAAATTCGCGTCGCTTCGCCTCTTGTGGTATTCTATGATCAGTTACGACTACTTGGATCTTATCCACTTCTTCACTTGCGGTCCTGATGAGGTCCGATGTTGGACAATCCAGAAGGGCACCAAGGCCCCTCAGGCTGCTGGTGTCATTCACACTGGTAACTCTGGCATGTAGTTGATCGGGTGTTGGGAAGGCTCTTCGCTGACAGATATGGAGCGTGGATTCATCTGTGCTGAGACTTACCGATACGAGGACATTCGGGAACTCGGCGATGAGAGTGCTGTAAGCAGAGCCATTATTAATCAGTTGCTAACGTCATTGGTCAAGAACTTTCTCTCTTATCTAGGTTAAAGCAGCGGGAAAGTTGCACCAGAACGGCAAGAATTACGAGGTCCTAGATGGCGATATCTGTTTCTTCAAGTTCAACGTCAGCAAGGGCAAGTAAATGATTGTCGACTGAGTCGTGTCGGCATCGAACTGTCTCCGCGAGTTTCTCGTTGTTCCCTACGGCTAACCATACTTGGTTTGCGGAAGCAGCCGTCTACTGCGGCTCGTACCGCTGAGATCATCGCTCGTATTGAGTTTGTAGTTTGTCAATATTTCTCGGTTGGATGGAGTATCTCACTGTGCGTTTCCTTTCATATGGTAGAGTCGTATTTTTTAGCGAAAAGGCGGTATCTCCTTCACCAAGGCCTCGATCCCGAAAGGATCATTCACGCTGATGATGATTGGCAGAAAGAGTAGTACAATAAGGGTGGTGCACTGCTTGATATGAGCTCGCCGGGTTTTTGCTAGTGCTGGGATCAACTCGTCACTCGGGAGTATATCGTTGGTTCGATCACACTATATCCCGCGGCATTTGATCGCTGAAAGTCGATACTCTGCACGCCCCTGTGCATCTGACTGCAGACACTTGTATTCAGATCCGAGATCTTGACGAAAATGTTGGTGACATATGAGGATGCTGTGAATATGCCGAGGTGTCTTGACTATGTTTGTTGTCGGGACATCGCAGTGCCTCTGGAAACTCCTTTAGGAGATGATGTCGATAAGGTAAACCCCAGGCGTCCTGACGCTTTCCAGCGAGTGCTGTTGACCATTGACAGATTGCAATGGTAGGTGCTGTGCCTCGGCGCCAACATGGTGGAGACTCCCGCTTATGCAGCTCAGATCGTAGCCAAGCACCTCAGGAGGAACCCTTCAAGAGCGGTAACTATCTCGAAATTCAGTTGTGATTTCTTGTGATGCCTCGCTCATTCAGTTGACCCTCATTTTATCCGGCGGAATTGGACGGCTAACGCCACTGTTGTGTGAAAACGCGATTGCTTGGGCGGAAAAGGAAGGCCTAGCAGAACTTGGTAATGTATGGACTATTACAGCGGAAGAGAAATTCACCTCATGTCTCTTCAGTTTCTTGGCTACCCACTGGAGGTGTACCGTTTCAGAGTAAGTTGAAGGGGCTTGCGAAAACAGAAGAGTTGAAGCTGGTGAAAGAGAAGGACGCGATCGAGTTTAGTCGCCATGGCTACAAATCGAGGGATGATCTCGAAGAGTAGGAGCTGGTCTCGCTCTTGTGGCTCGTCCATAATTTTCCACATTATAAATTTCAATAGGAAAATTTAAAACCAAGCTTTGGTTAAAGAGCGACCCATGCCTTATGCAATCCTCCGGATCATCCACGTTTGCAGATATCTTACCGAGGCCAATATTTACCTTGAAGTGATACTCGGTGTCCTCGTCGAAAAAGAGAAACTTGTTGAATATAAGGATATTTGTATGCTTGACCGTCACTCAGCAGCATCATTCGATAGGAATGAATTCGACGGCAAGCTCATCATAGTGTTAGAAAATACCAGCACTAACACTGGCAATAATGTGACTCACGCGAAGGAGTTACTCAGCGAAGCGGGGCTCTTGAGCCCCGAGTCTCGAATGGCCGTCGTAGATATTCCCTATTTGGGTCGAAGAGCTCTAGCTACTCTCGCGTGGCACTTGAGTGAGTCGAAATTCCTCATTTTCCAGGCGAGAAACGATCATCGCAGGCTCTCTCGTTGCTGGCTTCGAGCCGCGCATGCCGCCGGTGTTGTTGAATTATCCCAGGGATTTTCAAACGCTTCCCGATCGGGTTTTAGCCATACATATGGCTGCTGGCGAGCTTCATCGATTAGCAAAGTAAGTTTGGTCTCCGTATATTTATCGTTGGATGATAGCGTTCCCAGATACTCTCTCGGTGATCCGCAAGAAAGATTTTTCGACAGACCTGATGACTTTCCAGATTTGCTGTATGAACGGGTTGTTGAAGCTGAGCCTCTGCTGAATGAAATGCGTCGTGTCCTCGGAGAAGATATCCCATTGTGATTCCTCCTGTGTTTAGTGTGCTGAACTTTCTAAGCTTGAGCGTTGTTTGTTGAGTGACAGGGTTATCAACGCCCAGCGTCCATGAAATCTTTCGTTGAGGATACGGGAAAGGTACACTTCTTAAACAGTGAGAGTGGCTGTAAGCCGCAACTGTGTCAGCGAAGGTTTCGTTAGAAAGTAAGTTCAAGCAAGTGCACGAAATGAGAAATATGTTGGGGTATTCTGATATTATCGATCGAACCGTATGTTGTGAGACTGAAGTGGTTCCACCCATGAACCAGTCTCGTTCCTTCCTTTTTTCAAGTCTTGTCTCAAGTTGGTTGGGGGACACTAACATATGTCAGGAAACATGGGCCATATTCCGTGACATAGTTAGTGTGACCAAACATGATCTGTGAACCTATGGACCAAGGTAAGACCCGGAGAGGGTTCGGGCTTCGGGCTCACAGTGTTTGGTCCTCTCCCACACTCCCAACCAACTGTCCGGTTGACGGATCGATGTCACTCGAATTGAGAGAACGAGTCTTGAGTCAAGGTAATTCAATTGATGGTCAAGACTCTTGACCATCAATTGAATCACCTCGCACTGTTACAGCAATGCGGGTCTAATACCAGTGTATTGCAGACACATGACGTCAACTTCCAACAGACTCTCTAGATTTCGTACGTTAGCATGAGCACATATATACTAACACAGAAAGACAGTTTCATAGAAACGACTATTAAGAATAATTGTCGTAACAACTGCATATTCAAACAGCAACTAGATAGCAAAGGTGAATGACATGAGATCTTGGGCATTTCATCATATTCCATAATCGTTGTTCAAATACGTAGCTCCAATGACAATTACAAGGCCTAGCAGTACACCTTCCTGATCTACGCGTCTTCAGCCTTGCCAATATCAGCTTGCGTGAGCCCAACAAGATATAGAATAGTTGACAGATCCTTGTTGTTGACTCTGAAATTCGCTTGTTCTTGAACCTTCGGCTTAGCACAGAACGCCACACCCAAACCCGCGGTGGTGAGCATGGGAATGTCATTAGCACCATCTCCAACTGCAATCGCCTGGAATGAAAGAATGACAGTCGCCATGCACATCCCTCATAGCGACGCTCACCTGGTCCACACGAACACCTTCCACTCTAGCAAGCATGACTAGTAAATTTCGCTTCCTTTGTGGAGTGACCACCGGACCGACCTGGATTAGGAGTGTATAATACGAGAGAAGACTTCCGTGAATGACGGTTACCGTCCGTCCACAAAGTAATCCATTAGAGTCTATTTCGAGCTCATTGGCATAAGCGTAGTCCAAACCAAGCTCCTTCTTGGTATGTTGAGCGAAGGGTAGGAAACCGCCTATGCAAAAAAATACCAAAAATGAGGTAACACATTTTATTGATTTTAGAGATGACTAGTAGTCTCCTAATAATATAGTAGCCTGATAGTGTGTGTGTGAACTGACACATATACACACTAATAGTCACCTCGCCACTCAGAGGAGTTATTGACCATTCTATTCGCAGTTTACCAGATATAACGGCCATCTTGAATCCCATAGCTTTGAGGGTTTTAGTCAATTGCCTTGCACCAGGAGTAAACTTCATTCGACTTTCAACCTCATCGATCAAATACTTCGCAGAAGCGCCCTTCAGCAGAGCCACCTGTGCATCAACCTCGAAGAGAGCCACCGCGAAGCAGACCCGTAGGCTACCCTTTGTTTGAGACTTTCGAAGAAATCGATTTCGCCATGCATGGCTTTCGACGTGATGGCCGAGACTTCCTTCTCAACCCCTGCGAGTTTCGCCAGCTCATCAATAACCTGCGAGTGATCTGATACTCTAACGTAGTTTACAATCCGAATGTACCTCGCCTTCAACTAGAGTAGAATCCATATCGAAGACAACGAGCCGACGACAGAGCCTCGCGATGTCATCAACCTGCCATGGAGAAAAATTATGTAAAAAGCTGTTATTCAACAGTAGCGCCCACCTGAACAGCGCAATCGACGCATCCACTCTGCACGCACTTTGCACCCAGCAGCTTCTCCCGCAGCGAAGAACGGATTTCCTGCCGACGAAAAAAGAGTGGGGAATACTACTGTATTAGACAGAAAATGATCGTGATGCGGTTTTCTCTAGAATCATCTCAAGCGCTTCTCCCAATGACTCACATCAGTTGACGTCTGCGTATCACTGGGATTGAGCACGAACTGCAGAGCACTCATGGCTCCATCGGACTCGTCCAAACGTCGAATCACCGAGATGTTCATATTATTTTCAGCGAGAATCTAAATCTTTGAAAGTCGGCACTGTGCAGAACCCACGCAGCAAACAACCCCTACCTGAAGAATAGTTGCAAGCGCCCCCGCCTCCAAAATAGGCTGCTCGACGAGAGTCACTACTAAGGACGGTACTAAAGAAAAACTCGGCTATACTAACCGGCCGGACATAGGCTTAGTTACACATACCATCGGACGGCGAGTGTCCAGTGGGATTTTCTAGGTCAGCGAACGATGGAAGGGTGGGCAAACTTTCCTGAAAGAATAATATACATATTCCAGTACTGAGCTATTCGAGGCATGTAATCAGCAACGAAGCGTGAAGTACGACATAGGAACAGTTCACAGCAATGTTGAAGTGAATCTGCACGACTATTATAGAAGTAATAGGACATCGCTCACACGACAGGGGAAGAGTTCACCTGAGTTGAATACTGCATATCCATACCCCGACCATGAGTGATGAAGAGAATATCCTTCAGGCAGTCGTCACGGGACTCCGGCTGAATATGAGAGCGATAGCCACGGATAGAAGTATTGAAGACCGACATCAGTAACGTAGATCTGCATTCCCATGCAAAATACGCCGTGCAAGTTGTAGGTGACAATCTGACCAATGCTCGTCCCTGAAATTCGACCAACTCCAGAGTGCTATCCAACTCACCAATGCCTCACCTGTCTTCACAACAGGTCCCAGAAGCAGCTCCATGAGCCCGGGGGCATCCGGACCGATCACTCTGATATCGCAGCGCTCCAAGGCACTGTCTGGTGACACGCCTTCGAGAGGCTCCAGATCCCACACCGAGCGAGCTAGCGGGTCTGTCAATGTTGTACCTATACCGGTCTACATGCGACAAGCTAGTAATCGGTCAATCCTTACTTCTGACCAGCGCGACATCTCTATCGCTGTCGTCTTGAGAAGTGGTGTCCATCTCCGCAACAACAGTTGAGTTAGCTGGAGTAAGTTGCTCCTCTATGCTGGGGGTGTTCCAAGAATCGTTGGGCCCGGTCTGTGAGAGCTCAACAAGCTCACGCACGTGAGTTTCCGAGTAGCCCAACAGGTGAAGGAGGACTCTCAAATCTCCCTGCTGCCGGGAGTTGAAATGAATCTAATACGCGACCGATCATGTTCAGATCGAAGCCATTCAAACGACGCTGAAGTAAGTGAGAGCTCGGCAGCCCTGCATACCCGATATCCGCACTGGTCAAACAAGTAGTCCGCATGGACGTAGTCGCCCACAACGATGACGTTCTCCTGACTGATGTTCTCTCTGTCCGCGATTAGCCTCATATAATCGACCTGATCGAGATATTGAAGCCAATATAGAAATCTTGAAACTCACCTTACGGAAGTTGTCCATCAACGTACCATGCTTGCCAGTTATCTTGTCGGTGTATGGGTCCACCTCGATCTCCGTAGCAAGGGCGTAATCGAGACCGAGTTCTGACTGAACGTGCCTGCGAGGAAACAGTTTCAAAAGTCGGGGCTTATCACAGACCGAGAACCTCAGCCTACCTCGCAATTGACTGTGAAGCGCTAGAAGTGATCAACGCCAACTTGAAACCGAGATACCTGAACACCGACTCGCAATATTCCATGGACAATGATGATGTCGATACTCACTTGAGTGCTTGACAGACCTTTCTTGCGCCTTTGGTCAGCCGTAACTGTGCGATGGTTCGGGAGACCACATCACGCGGAGCCCCTGAGAGGGAACTCGATCACAACAATAGGGAAGAACTGCGAACCACCTTCAAGGGCCGCAACGAGACGATGACTAGTCTCGTTCACGGAGAGCTTCTGCTTCTCACACTGAGCTCTAATGCCTTCGTAATCTTTGCCGGCCTGAGGGAAAGTGTAAAATAATACAACAAGGGACAGTTCGAAAAGCCTCGAAAACATCTCTTGGCGTTATGACGTGTTTTGCCTCACTTCTTTGAGTAGTGTCATCAGTACGTCATTGGAGACCAAAACCTCGGAAAGACCGAAAACGACGAGCGACTTCGGCTTGGGCTTTGAAGGAGCTTCGTAAGGCCTACAGAGAGCTCACCATATTAAAGGACAGGATCCACAAGGGAAATGCATGAGCGACCTAAACCAAGACAAGGATCTCGGCTATTCGGAATTGTTCTTATCAAGTGGGAATCGGAGTCGTATATAGTAAGGAAACTTATCTACTCATACTTCCCTGGGTGCGGGAATTTTTCATACGATGTCACCATAACACGGAGAAAAACACATGTCACAGCGCCGCATCTCGTGAAGCCGACCTGACGACAACTTCCGCGCCAACTCTGTGACACACTTCCTGCAGGAGGAGGTAGAGCCTTTGGCGGCTCCCCATGGGATGCGATGCGGCATTGTAGATATCTGAGCACATCAATTACTAGCATGGCGACTAGGATTCGGGCCCACCGTCCTTGATAGCCTCCTCTGGGTGGAAGTCCCCGGTCTGGCGAACTCTCAGCTGCAGGGAGTGCACCCACAAGGGGGCATCCGGGTTAAAGTGAACTACTGACACAACACTCCAGCCCTCGCGGGTTGCCTGAGAAGGAAAGCATCGATACCAAAACAGAGCGAAGTAGACGATATTATACTTACGATCGAGCACACACTGAGGAGCAGTGCTGGTGGTAGGCATTCAACTACTGTTCCCTTTGGAGGGTGATAGACGACCTGAGCAAATAGCCACACGGTGATCCGTGAAGTCAACGCAGCTTCTAACCAACCTGGATAAGGCAATCCTCGGACCCACAAAGACCATCGTCTCCTTCCAACGAAGCGGGTCTCTCTCCGCCCTCTGAATCAGTTCCACTGTCATCGTGAAGCTGTCGCACACTGACAGAAACGCCCATGCGGTTCGCCGGCAGCAGTAGCTCCTTCGTGAGGGCAGCCACATGCTCATCGTCAACCTGGCCACAGGCATCAAAAACGGAGTCGATACCGCATGAGCCTACCTTGACCAGCAAACTTAACATGAGGAGCTCATCGATGCATATCTGGGAGATATCCAGCAAAGTGCTCTGATCGAAGTCTGCAATAGTCTGGCACATGAGATGTGAGATGCCCGGCTGATCCCGACCGCGAATGCTGAACAAGTAGAGGCTGCTACCGGGTACACCGATCTCTGCCGTCAAAGGGGTGACTGAGGCTGAGAAGAATTTCCTAACCACTATCCGGTCTGGCGGACGAGTTACCACTAAGAGTAGTGTCCGCGCTGTCCCTATGCGAGTGAGACATGCGACGCTGCGGATGCAATTCCCAAGTATCTGCCGTTGATGCCATATAAGGTGAACTTAAAAACAGACTGAACGAAGCGACATCGATGCCCATTCACACTATTCTCCGAGATCAAACGTATGCATCAGCTGTATTAATGGACGTCACACTAGGAAGGAGGGTATCTTGCTCACCGTTGCCAACTCGGGCAACTTCCAACATAGGTCGGGAGCACAATATTCACTCTTAGGCTGAAGACATACAGAGTCCTAGCTAGTTAACCGAGCTAGAATCCCCAGGAGAGATAAGGGAGTGACTTGCCGGAGCTAGTTGTAAGAAATGAGCCGGATCACGACACAAAGGCTGTCTCCCCTCGAAGTTGCTGCCACCACGGAAGCGTCATTAAGCCGAGAACTAAGCCTGCCAAGGGCGCGACGAGTAGATCCTCAAGAAGAACCTCTACCGAGATCGACATACATGAAGATCCTCCCATAGTGACGCGCACTCAACCAACACGACACCGAGCAGAGGGAGCAGAAATCATGATGAGGTCTCGAGTAGATGCCTATGTGACAGCATCTACTCGTAACAACTTCCAACTCGAGAATATCTTCGACCATCATTGCCAACAGAACCCGATCGTAACTCACAACTGGTGTTGGTGTTGGTCTCTTACAATTTATAAGAGACCTGTGACATGCTCCCGTACCGATAAGGGTCATCCAATCTCGCAGGCTGGCGAATCCACAGTAGGTGGAGCTGATGCGATAGACTCACCGTCGACAACCTCCTCCCTGATGCAGGGAGACTGCTCTCGTTCTTGTTGAGACTGATCGATCAGCCGTTGTTACGGTGAGCCTCACGTTGGCGCCTTCCCGCTCACGAGGTGGTACGGGAACCACAATGGTAGCTGGCGCCCGGAATATTGTCAAGATGGCTCGTCCATAAACTTGCGATAGGAGCCTCACGTCGATACAGAAGCACACCGCATACCTATCCAAGCTCACAACCCAAGCACAACATAAGGAGAGAGCAACAGAAGTAGCCGAAGACCAAGTTCATCGCTGCGAATACTCACAGCTACTTCGACGAGGACCAACCCAGCTACTGCAGTCTTCGTATTATCAACGCGTATCTCATAAGAGTGCCGATTATCTCACTCAACTCACACATACACAACCGCATTCGGCAGAGCCAGAAACAAGCCACTACAACACAGTGGATTCATGACGTCATTCGCGCCGTTCGAGGCTCCACACTGGTTCCCCTCATCTCAAGAGACATACTCTCCGTGTCGGCCTCTCTGTGAACCATGCCAGATCTAGAGCTGAAGTTCCTGCCCATCACGGTTCCCATCACCATCGCAGCACCGAACCACCACTGAAGCGAGAAATATCTCGAGACGATCACAGCAGTATCAGTAGCAGCAGTCCACCGACTTGCAGAATGCTCTTTGAGTGCTTTTTAGACATCCAGTCTGCACCCTGCAGTCTCCTCGCTTTCCATTCAGCCTTCTCAAAGCCGTTGTTGTGCCTGACCAGGGAATCCATACCCACCGCAGATCGACTCGATAGCAGGAGTTGTTCTGTGAACTACGCGCGCCACAGTAGGAACGACGAGTTCAGGAACCAACATGTTGTGAACACTTGGTGCAGACCGCCCAGGTAAGCCGCCAAACCTGTAGAGAAATGGGAAAAACTCCGACCGAGAAACCTCATTTTTCATAGAAAGCCTCACCGAAAGCCGCCACTCCTGTTATTGCAATTGGCACACTCTTGCCCTCATGGCAGAATGCATAATTAACGCAGGAAGATGCATACCACAGAGAGAGCTGAAGGAGCGAAGCATAGACAATCACAAGTTCATAAACTGATAACTAGCAAATTCATAGGATGAACATGTCATCCTCCTTGACCACACAAGGGGAGAGTATCTTACCATTACTCACACTTGAGTACCGACGACCGTAAAAGAAGTTCCCACCTGCACAGGTAGAAGCTCCAAGAATGGAACACTATACGGGCCTGTCATCAGCCCAAGTGGAGCCCCGACGGCGAGGGCTGCTGCTCCCTGATCAAGGATGCAAACCCTGTTCACATATCTTTTTGTTGAAATGGAAATCAGCACTTGATCCAGAGTGAATTAATCTCACCAGTTGCTTGGGGAAGAGCCCTGCAGCCGCTACGGAACCAGCAATCAAAGCGTAAGATGCCCAGGACGGATCGACCAATCTGAAGACACGGACTCACTCACTATGGTCGAGGCAGTACAAATCACACACGTAAGAAAGACTACCACCCAAAGGCAGGAACACGTCCGAGATGGATGAACAATTGAAGTACTAGTGTTGTGGAGCAAAAATGCATCTTCAAAAGAGCACTTATAACTGTATCCATACTGGTATTATGATATTGATATTTTTGGAGTTTCACCCGTTTTACGTGAAGTGACGTAAAACTCGGTGAAAAACGCGATACTCGCGGTATGCAGTAGTCGTGAAACTCGTTTTTCACTAGTGTTTTTCATATCACGGGTAACCCCCTATGGAGATTGTACATCGTAATATATAATGATCATATAGTATAAGCACCTACGCAGATATGTACTGGGCTCCAGCTGCCAGATTAATAAAGCTGAGGAGTGCGAGTTCTCCTTTAGTAAGCTGGGAAAAGCCAAACTTCATGCCCTCCTTTTCCCTGATGACCACTGGTGTTGATTCGGGCGGCTCCGAAGTAGAGGGATTCTTCACCTCATTCCAGAGGACCTGTTCCGAGATACAACTCGCCGATATGTGGAAAATACCCACCGCGGAAGCAGCAGCGCCTCCACGGAGAAAAAAGAACGCAGTGAGGCCTTTGGCCGAGACTACAGCTGCCGGCATGGCGAATCCAATGCTCGAGGCGATGGCAACCCCCCAAGCGAATGGGAACCACATATTTAGGAATGATGGTATCTGTTGAGAATTATCACAGACTCCGACGAGGCAGCGAATTACGATTCATATTTCCTTCCGGATACCGGTGTGAGAAAATATGCACTACAAGTATTAGCGACTATATGAGAATTCTGGGGAAATCTTAGGGAAAATTTCTCATATTTTCCCGTACACTTCTGCTCAAATTTTGGTATGTAAACTTCTATAACCACTGGGGAAGTAAACCTGGGCTCTGCTGCGGAAAGCAAACATACACTCCAACACTGCTTAACGAGCTGAGCTCCTCGCTCCTACCGCTTCAGCGCGTGCAGACTCACCAAATCAGCTGTTGGAGAAATCTGCGGATGCTTAGGATGATGCACGCTCTTCCGGGTATCGAGACCATAGAGAATCATCACCGCCTTCATTTTATCAGAAAGAACGTTCTCGACGAAACTCATCTGGAAGTCCCTCCAAAACCCTATCTCGCTGGGCTTCTCTTCCAGCTTCTTCTCCGCCTGATCGACCACAACCGTCACTGCGCCACAAAATTGCTTCCGGCACCTATGTGAATCGCTAACGAGAAACTTGAAACTATATAACAACAGTCTCCTCATTAATCTCTTACGATCAACACTACGCTGACTCCTCTGAGCGCATGTGCTCCCCTTCCATACCTCTCGCTCCTGGTCCATCTCCATGTATTGTTTGAACTTCGCTCTCTCTTGCCTCATCTGCTCACGCTTCTCCTCTAACTTAGCCTCCCGGAACGCGTCCACTTGCTCCTTTGTGAAGTGTTGCATGGACGGATGTGGCCTAGGGACATGCTAGTACAATTCGATCGTTGGGTAGAAGCGTGCCCTCCTAGAAAGGCTCATCCCAAAGAGACATCAACAGTTCACGTTCTCACACAGGAGCCTATTACTACCGTGTCGCCCGCCCCTGAGCCGCGAACGCTCTATACGCGACACATCTCGGCATTCTTATCGACCTCAGGCCATACACCCGCACCAGAGTCGATGCCATTAACAAGGACAGAAGCTGCATGCGACGAAGTGGAGAATTCAACAGTTACTAGTATTCATCATCCTCATGTGTTGACAAGCAATGTTAACGATGCCGTTCGGGCAAAGCCATATGCAGGGCGATACAACCACCACACGTTTCAAATTCAGTCTGTGTCCAACGATACTACTGTGCCCTCATAACAGACATATGATGATCAACTTGCGCGTAAGATGGATCTCCCTCTGCCCACAACTTCACCATAGCACAACCCATCGCGTTGGCTGGATAATGATACATAGAAGTGATGAATTCAAACAAAACAAAGTTCGAGGAGTGTCACCCCATACGACGGTCTACGATCGTTACGCCAGCATCAGATACCAGCGTCCACTCCCGAGCGCCGACCACCTCATACAACGGCATCTGGGCGTCGCTATGCTTATGGAATCCCCTTCGGTGACACGTCTTCAAATACGCAATGCCGTACTCGGTGAGACGGAAGACTCCACAGGGCTGATACTGACGGTCCGTGGGGGCGACCACGATGGCCAGAGCCTCATTACACAGAACTTGATACCCCAGTGAAGTATGCAGGTCGATACTAGAGAGGAAGCAACTCTGACTCGGATGCGTGTGAATCCACCCAACACATATGAGGCCACTGCTGAGCGCAAAGTCCAGAACCTGAAACCGAACAGCCATAAATGCACTTGCACGCATGCACAAGAGAAGACTCGTACGATTATTGCGATCAGAATAGCAGTCGGGAGTAAATCCACAATCGCACATTACCTGAACATCGCTATCCTCACTAGACTCGCAAGAGTCTGATGTCCCGCTCTGCTGTGGCACAAAAAGATGAGTGATTCGAATCACTGACGCACTAGCCCCAGTAGTAGCAGCGATCGAATCGCCCATCGTGCCGAGCAAAATCCCACAAGTTTCCAGATTCCTAGACGTATTGTATCTGCCATATCAACGATGAAAGCTCTGATCTGGCATGAAAAAACGATGGAGACTACCGCACTAGGAAAAAATTTTAAAATCGAACACAAGTGGTCTGAAGACGTGATTAATAATAATGGAGTTTCACCCGATTTACGTGAAGTGACATA